AATTTTTTTAAAAGTTGTAATAAAGTTTTTGAAATAAAGCTATTTTCTCATTACTTTTCAGCCACCCCACGTATATAAAAAAATATTATCAAACATGGAGGCTCAAAGAGGCGAGTCTAAAGACTCATCTGAATTAGATTTGTTGAGACAGAGAATTACCAGTCTCGAGGCTGACAATACTAGATTAAAACAAATTATAGAAGAAATCGCTAATCTTAGGATTGAAAATACAAAATTAAAACAAATCATAAAGCAAAATCGAACTACTAATGACCCTTTGCAGTTTCAGCTTCTCCACAAACGCCTATTCCGTTACCAATTAATGTTGAGGATGATAGCACTGATTCTATAAATTTATAACAGGAACAAATTCTATTTCTCTCGAAGTTAATCCTAATAATATTTTGAATCATAAATCGACAGAAGAAAAGAAATTAGATGATTTTCTGAATCAAGTGACAAAAGAAAAGGTTAGTAATTTGATGAGAGATCGAAATCAGGAAAAGAAACTATTACAGAGTAATGAAGATCCCACTTCTGAGGATATTACAGCTGAGGCTCAAAGTACCATTATTGATGGCAATGAACCTACGTTCTATTCCGAAATAGCAGAAGCTAGTGCAACAGTGCTAAAATTTCCCTATAACCAAAGAGTAGAACAAGGTTTAATACGTGAATTATCTGCATTTATTGATAAGAAAAGTCTTTCGAATTCTATATCTGACAAACGAATTACTGTAAATGTGCCAGACAGGGATGATCTGACTCCGGGTTCTGCACCATACTTAGCTCACTTATTTGATGAGGCTAAACAAACTGGTCAGAAAGAATTTTATGTTGGTATTATTATAGTGAGGAATTCGAAAAAAAGGTTATAGATATTAGTTCAAAAACAATATTAATGATCAAATGACGAGGACACAGATTTATGATGAAATGGGACCATATCTTCCTGGTGTTAAGAGAGAATATTTGCGTAAGATGACCCAAAAAGCTAAAAACATTCATACATTATTTAAAGGGATAGGGATAGATAAAATCAAACACATTACGTATAGTGCTGATGCAATTTCTAGACTAACGGTTGCACAAATTCAAAATATTATAAATCGTTTCCATAAAAAGAGCACACACGTGATTGAATCATCAATCTTTAAGATTATGTATCTACTTTACCTGCAATAAGTTACTATTTAACTTTTTTTAATTTCTAATAAAGTTTATGAAAGTTAACACCTATGAGATGATGCAAGTAGAAACCATAGTTTTTTCCTTTCTATTAATATAATTAAACTGGTTTTACGTCAAATTTATTTTAAATTGGTTGGTTACAGCATAATGGACATTTGTTTATCACATATATAGATGTGCAATATTTTGAATAGTATTATTTCTGATATTCGTCAGTTCTTTTCAGAAATTTATCTTTTCTATATAACTAGCTAAGCTGTTTTCCTGACTTCTTCTTTCTTGTTGTGGCAGCATTCTAAAAGAAACAATTCAAGTTATTATGTATACACAACTTGATTATTTATGATTATTATGCATGTGTTACTATTACCGGAATTAAATTCAGACGCTCTAATTCCGGAATTCTTAATTTTCATTTTCATTTATTTCTATTTTTATAACCTTATTTTATTAATTTAGTATCAGTCAGACAAGATTTCACGCGATCAACATGTCTACTACTTAACTGATTGCTGCTTTTATGAAATAAACTGAACATTTACAGAGTGATAAACATGATCACGGAGATATAATGTAAATATTCTGGAGTGGCATTTTTTACAAGGTCAAGGTATTCTAATGATGCTAAAAGTGCTACATGAAACAGAAGGCCAATTAAAAGGAATTAAAAATAAAAAATAATAAAAATATGTCATAGCTACGTAAAATTTTGTGAAACACGTCAATTTTTACTATTAAAATCGAAAGAACTATTTACTTGTCACTAGTACACCCACATGTAATTTTTAACAAGGAACGTGATATTTTTACGTTTTTATTTATTATAATTACAAATAAGCATAAATAAAAATAATACAATTTTACATGCTTAACAACGATTCAAATTGCAAATATCTATAAAAAAATCCATAACTTGACATAGTGTATTAATTCTTTATCCCACACTCCCAACCATTTAAACTAGTAAATGCGACGTATTAAGACACCCAAGCGTTTATAAACAATAATTTAGATAAGCCTAATATTAAATTAATAGCATGTCTACAAATTACAGTTGAAAGTAATACATTAATAAATAAAAGTTATTCAATCCATATATGTGCTTGCATAGTAACCAAATAGTCTACATATGAATGTACAAAATCAGGCAAACATAATCCACGAATTACAACAGATCCTACAAAACATCGTAATGTCCATTCTCAAAAAACAGAATGCCCATAGCATATTAATCTTCTTTTCCAAAGTCAAGTAATGTAATAAAAATTAATTCCTTTGTAAATGCATACAATCATTCTTTGAACACAATGATAGGTGAAATGGTACCTCAATTTCGGAAACTTACTTCTTCCATGTTTAAAGATATCAAAAAATATGTAGTTAAAGCAAGGATGGACAAAAAATATGCGAAGGTGGTGAAAATTCTAAAATAAAAGGTCGTAAATGTGGAAAATGTAGACTATTTGGTCACTATGCAAGCACACATATGGATTGAATAACTTTTATTTATTAATGTATTACTTTCAACTGTAATTTGTAGACATGCTATGAATTTAATATTAGGCTTATCTAAATTATTGTTTATAAACCACTTGGGTGTCTTAATATGTCGCATTTACTAGTTAAATGGTTGGGGGTGTGGGATAAAGAATCAATACACTATGTCAAGTTATGGATTTTTTTATAGATATTTGCAATTTGAATCGTTGTTAAGCATGTAAAATTGTATTATTTTTATTTATGCTTGTTTGTAATTAAAATAAATAAACGTAAAAATATTTATGCTGATCTTTGTTATTTAGTAATGGCACCACCTGGGTACTATACCCACACTGGGTATGAATAGTAATTCTCTAATAAATAAATATAAATATAAAATTATACAAAAAAAAAAGAATGCCATCATTCAATTCCTATTGATTCTTTGGTAAACTTTATGATTAAATTCAAAGCTTTATCAACATGTTCTTTTTTTGTCCAACTACCACCAACTGAAAATCTAATTACCATTTGATCACCCAATTGTGTATGGGTAATAAAAATTTGTTTGGTGTCGTTTAATTTGTTTAATACTGCTTCAGTTAATTCGTTAGACGTGAATTGATTTTCATTATCAGCCGGGGGAATTACATAAAAACAAACGAGAGAAAAAGAATAAGGTGCAGCAATTTTAAATAATTCGGGATATCGTAAAATCTCATTATAAAAGTGATCTGACAGTTTTATTGACTGTAAAGAAATATATCAGTTTAAAAAAAATCAATATGTTCGATACTTTGTTAAATAAATAAATACCTCTCGAATATGTTTTCTTAATCCGCTTGCTCCATAATTTCTTACAACAAACCAAATTTTTAATGATCGAAATCTCCTTCCGACTATCACAAATCAATAATTAACATTTATTATTATTATTATTATTAATTGGTGAATGAATCAGAGAGATCTGCATTTTTAATAATAAATTTTGGTCCAATTGTCAACTTGTGTTATTCTTGTGCCACAGGGTGATATTATTTTTAGTATGAATAAATTAATATAGTTTGTGTGATGAATAAAGACTTTTCTATGTAGGTAGGAAATACAGATTTGAGGGTCTCTCTGATTCATTCACAGATTGTCAATTAAAGTACTTACAAGGTATTTCCCAGTCTCGATAATCCAAAACTAATCCACTTTCGCTTGCAGCATTTCTTAAAAATGGCGGCGTAATCGATAATGCATTTAAAAGAAATGATCGATCTTTAATCCTATCAAAAAAAAATAATAATAATCATTATGAAGATATGAATATACAAAGATTTTACTAATAAATAAATAGATATTTTACCAAAAACATGAGCAATCAAAAGTGGTCAATAACCATTTATGCATGTTAAATCCGAATGAATCAGCCTTTTCTAATCCTTTTGACTGATGTTGATACTCAGGGCAAACAAGGGCCGCACCAGCATATGCTGCGTCTACATTTAACCATATGTTTGTACCTTCAACTAGAAAACAAATTTTATTATTATTATGTAATGATAAATATAATGATTTAATTTATTTTATTTACTAGCTTCAGCAATTTCATCAATATGATCGACGGCGGCTGTGCTTGTTGTACCAATTGTTGCGTTAATAAAAAATGGAATCAATCCTTTAGCGATATCTTTTTCGATTACTTTTTTAACCGTTTCGCCGCGTAATGAATAATTTTCATCAGTTGGGAATAATGAAAATTTAGTATTTGCAATCATTGTAGCTTTCTTTACCATGGAATGTGCCTATTTTAAACATTATATAGTATTAATCGGTTATATAATAAATATATATGTGTGTGTGTGTGTGTGTATAATATACATGCACCGGCTATCTTACTTGATCTGAAGCGTACGCAATCAGCCGTGTGGAAACTTCGTCCAATTCTTTTTCATTAAGACCCTTCTTTTTGTATTCATCTAGTACTCTTTGCCTTGCTGCTATCAATGCAACCAAGATTCCTTCACTGGCAGTCCCTTGAATTACACCACCACCTTTCCCTTTACTAAGAAAACTAGAGTCTAAATTAATTAATTTAGCCATCCAATCAAGTACAATGGTTTCCAATTCTGTACAAGCTGGTGAACATATCCACTATTCAATCAAACATAACAAAAGACAAATATTTAATATTTAATTTAAAAAATAAATGTCTGTAGCCTGTTTATTAAAAAATAAATTCTTACATTGAATCCAATACAATTAAACATGTCGCTGTACATATCACCAAGAATTGCTGGAAACGACGATGTTGCCGGATAAAATGCAAAAAAATTTGGACTTTGCCAATGCGTAACTAATCAATCAATCAATCGATCAATCAGTTGATAATTCTTTTAAATAATTATTTTCAAGAAAAATATCTTGATGACTACATACCACCAGGAAAAATTTTTGTTTCTATATCAGATTGAATTTCGTCCCATGATTCTGGATCTATTAAGAAAGAAATTAAATTTTTGTAATTGATAACAATAACAATAAAAAAATACTTTATATTAATAAATCACCTTCGGGTGCTTCATCCGGAAGAAGCTTCTCGAGATAACCAGGTTCAACTTTTGATATAACTAAATAAAAGTAAAATAATAAACGATTTCAAGGATTATATAAGAGTCAATCAAAGTCCTTTATTTTTTCTTTAATAATAGTAATAATGGTGGTGGTGGTGGTGGTGGCGGTAGTAATAATAGTAATTGTTCAGTTCAAACCATCGTAGTTATCAATTTCCTGATAATATTTGCAAATTCTATCAACTGTCTCATATCCTCTTTTACGAAATTCTTCAATATCCATAATTTTATATTAATTTATTATGTCTTTTAATGAGTATATCTTATTGTATTTTAGTATTCCAGGAAAATTTCAACAACAAAATCTGAAAAGGCCAATTTTATATTAGTAGATTTTAAATACCTATTTATGTTACACCGTTTTTGATAATTATTTTAATCATTTCAAATCAATCGAAAAAATCCATGATTTAAAAGATCAATCAATATAATAAATAAATAACACTTATTTAATCTTTCCTAGTTGATTGGTAAAAAAGAAATTTTCAGGGCAAATTTAAAAAAAAATAGCATCCCGCCTCTATTTAATTTACTTTAATATTAATCAATATTAATGGCTAACCGAATGGATATTCAAAGAAGAACCCAAGGATTCTGTTATCAAATTGTTCGTTGAAAAATTACATCATTTTCCTCGTGATTGGTTGGGTTGGTTGGGTGTTGGTTTTTGGTAAATTGTAAAATGTGCATGTCAATTTTTTATTTTTTATCCACGTAAGATCCACAAGAATTGATATCTGATATACAGATCAACATGTAACATCAAAATTAATTTTCTCTATTTTTTTTACATCAAGAAAATAAAAATATCAATATTAAAAGATGCAGGCGCCAGTAATTGTAATGAGTAAGCCCGTTAAATTATTTATAACTATTACCATATTTATCAAAATAAAATATTAAATTGATAACAATTATATAGATACCAATGTTAATAGAGAAACTGGGCGAAAAGCCCAAGTCTCTAATATAACAGCCGCAAAAGTATATATTAAAAAAAATTTTTATTTAAATATCTTATTAATTAATATCATTGGAATAGAAGTCGATTTGATCCCAAAAAATTATTATTGTCATGAACACCCTTCTTTTCTCCCTCCTTTCATTTTATTTTTTAAATATTAGACAGTGGCTGATATTATTCGAACTTGTCTTGGTCCTCGTTCCATGCTTAAAATGTTGTTGGATCCAATGGGCGGAGTAGTTCTTACTAATGATGGTAATGCTATTCTCCGTGAAGTTGAAGTGGCTCATCCAGCTGCAAAAAGTATGATCGAATTAAGCAGAACACAAGATGAAGAAGTTGGTGATGGTACAACTAGTGTTATTATTTTGGGTAAAGAAGAAAATACTATATATATACATATTATTAATTGAGGCTTATTGTTTATTAAAAGTGATCATTTGCTGATTTTTTTAAAAAATTGGAAAGTTTAGCTGGTGAAGTACTTGCACAAGCATTACCATTCCTTGAACGTAATGTTCATCCAATTGTCATTATATCTGCTTTTAAAAAGGCTTTAGAAGATGCTATAAATATTATTGGTGAAATTTCTAAACCGGTTGATATTGATAATCATGAAGAGATGCTTAAATTGATTAAAAGTTCTATTGGCACAAAATTTGCAAGTCGTTGGAGTGATCTAATGTGTAAACTAGCTTTGGATGCAGTTAGAGTAGTCGCCATAGAAGAAAATGGAAAACGTGAAGTTGACATTAAAAGATATGCTCGCATTGAAAAGGTTTTTTTTCCCTCATCCTATAAAATTAATATTTTTTTATATTTGCTTATTTATATATATATGCATATGCTTAATTAATATACTTGTATTTATTTTTTTTGTTTGAAATTAGGTTCCTGGTGATGAAATAGAGGATTCAAAAGTTTTAGATGGAGTTATGTTAAATAAAGATGTTACACATTCTAATATGCGTCGTCGTATTGAAAATCCTAGAATAGTTTTATTAGATTGCCCACTTGAATACAAAAAAGGTGAATCACAAACTAATGCAGAGATTATGGATGAAAATCATTGGAACAGATTATTGGTAATTGAAGAAGAACAAATTAAAGAAATGTGTGAAAAGATTATTGCAGTAAAACCAGATCTTGTATTCACTGAGAAAGGAGTTTCAGGTTTTTCATGATGATAATTATTATATTAAAAGAAATAATAAGAAGACTATTATCTGTTTGTTTCCTAACATTAAAACAAAATATTTGTTTGAATCAGATCTTGCACAACATTATTTAATGAAGGCAAACATATCTGCTATTCGTCGTGTTCGTAAGACCGATAACAATCGTATTGCACGTGCAGTAGGTGCAAACATTGTTAATCGATTGGATGATCTTAAAGATGAGGATGTCGGTGTAAATTGTGGATTGTTTAATATTGAAAAGATCGGTGACGAGTGAGTATTGTTGTTATAAAAAAAAAGTTTTTTTAATTAAGAAAAAAAGAAAAACAAATCTATTTTACTAAAAAAAAACTACTTTTTTTTTTGGGAAAAGATATTTTACATATTTAACTAATTGTAAGAATCCCAAAGCCTGTACAATTCTTATTCGAGGACCATCAAAAGACATTTTAAATGAAATAGATCGTAATCTTCAAGATGCAATGAACGTTGCCAGAAATGTTTTTTTTAATCCTTGTTTAGCTCCTGGTGGTGGTGCAACCGAAATGGCCATAAGTGTCAAACTTTCAGAAAATTCAAAAACCTTGGAAGGTATTGAACAATGGCCATATAAAGCTGTAGCAGAGGCCATGGAGGTTATTCCAAGAACTTTGGTTCAGAATTGTGGTGGTAATGCTATGAAAATTTTAACTCAATTAAGGGTAACATATATATTTATAAAATATAAAGCATACGATTATTTATATATTTTTTAATTCAAATAAAATTTTTAATAATGAATTTAAGGCAAAACATGCTACAGGAAACCATTCTTGGGGTATTGATGGAGAAAGTGGTAAAGTGGTTGATATGCACGAGTATGGTATTTGGGAGCCTAATGCAGTAAAAGTTCAAACTATTAAAACAGCTATTGAGGTATGGTTTACCTCTCAACAACTCTCCTTCATTGCTAATTTAAAAAAACATAACCATATGTAATTTTTGAAATTGAAAAATCTATACTAAATTATTATATATATATATATATCTTTGTTTAAAGTCGGCTTGTCTTTTACTTAGAGTTGATGATATAGTCTCAGGTGTATCGAAGAAGAAATCACAAGGTGGTGGTGGTGGTCCACAAGTTGTAAATGAGGGAGAAGGTGCTGAGGGTGGTGAGGGGGGTGGTGAACAATAACTATGATAATAATAAAGAAATTTTGAAAAAATAAAGTAAATCGGTTGACAAAATAGGAGGAGGTTGATTCAGAGAAAAATTATAATGGAAATATATATAAATATCTCTCTTGTCTTGAAAACCCTAAAGCAACTTCAAGTGATATATTAAATTTAATAATTAAATTATTATTGTTGTTGTTGTTTATTTGCTTTTTTTTTTTTTTTAATATAAATACAATTCTTATCCATATTGCGAAGATTCCAATGAGCAATGAGCAGTGAGCAATGAGCAATGAATATATATAAATTTATAGACTATATACAATTAAAAATTAATTATTTAATTTTCTAAAAAAAAAATCTAAAAATTAAAGGACATTCGACCTTTCGCAATACCTTAAAAAGAATCTAACTGTCCCACAGTTTAAATTCTCTTCTATCGCTAATTATAATTAAACATCAATTAATTGGAAAGATTATTATTATATATTATATTAATCTTAATATAATATAATAATATATATATATATATAATACAATAAAAGAATCAATCATGTAAAAAAAAAAAAGGAAATAAAATTATTTTGTGGCTTATAGTGATTTTATATATATATATATATATATATATATTAATATAATTTAGCAACATAGCAACAGCAATCAATTATTATTAGAAGTATTTAAATATCTTGTTTAACTTTGATATTTTATTTTTAACTTTATTACTTTATTCTTTGGTGATGGTTTTCCTTTGCTTTTCCTTTTTTTATGATCATACTCGTTTTCTATCGATTTTAATTGTTTATTATCTATTTCTATACAATTTTCATAATCTTTATTGATCGGCGACGAATCAGTTGTTTTATCAGAATCAGGTATCTCGTCAGAATCATCTCTGTCATGACAGTCTTGTCTAGGTTGTAACATCCAGTTTTGTCTATCAACCTCTGCACCATAATAAACGAATAATTCCTCTCCTGCTTTAATATCTCGATTGGTCCAACATATAACCTGATTAATCTCATGTCCTTCTAGAAATATCATATTTCCAGATGGATCTTCATTCATAAAATGAAACGGACAATAAACATTTCCTTTTTGATCAGTGTAAGGCATTCCATCTTTATCTGTTGCATCTAGTATTGTATGTTTATATCTCATGGAATAATCTGCCGCCATTCCAATATTATCTTTATGTAATTCAAATTCTTCTTCAAGCATTGGGACACCAAAATAAAACCCTAATGGCGTCGCATTAGGAATATCTCGTTTAGCAAACAATCCGTTACCTGCATTGGGAATAGTGGATGGCTTGACCTCTACAAGTTCATCGATGCTTTTTGGAACGGCACTATAATCAAACCATTCATGAATTTCTTCTGTTTGTATATAAGTTATTAATTCTGATTGAGCTGACGATGCGTTACTATCTGTGGTTTCACAAGAAGATTTATCTAATATGTGATCGTTATTGTCTTTATTCTTTAATTTAGAACAATTATTATGTGCATGTTTTTTTGCTGTAACTGGCGAAAGGTTTGATTCGGTAATGAAGGTTTTTGATTTTCCTTTGAATGTCTTTGTTCTTTTGGTCAATGTGTAAATGCATAGTATCCCGTTTTCTTTACATTTAGAACACGAAGGAAATTTTGAATCACAATGTTTTTTTTCTAAACATCGCACACAAGTCATATCAACATTCGTGTCTACACCCACTGAAAGCATAAAAATTTTTTTGTCTGAAGATACATTATCTAGGGAGGAAAAAAAAATGACGGTAAAAAGAAACTAATAAATATATTGTTATCCTGATACGATATTCATTGTATCAATGATAATACACAACAAAGTTACCTTTTAATTTTCCAAATAACAATGGCCAATCATGTTCTATTAATTTTTTTGTCCAACTATTGTAATATCCATAAAATTCATCAAAATCATTTGGAGTAAATGAAAGTTTATAATGAGATTTTGAACCCGGGTCTTTCTTAAATGGTATAAAATACTTTTCTGCAACGTACGTTAAACATGCACTAGCTGAATTTTCTGGCGTCTATTAAAATATAAACACAAATAGAGTTTAAATAAGTATTTTAGGATATGTTAAAAGTAAAAAAAGGTGATGTGTTTAATAAATGTATCATCAATATTAGAGATAAATACATACGTGACCATTATAACATCTTGGTAAGCCTGTTTTATGACTTATTCTTTTGTCTAAATACAGTGCTGCTTCAATCAGATCTTTACGTGGCATACTATAATTGGGAGCGTTTTGTAATATTATCATCAATAAGTGTGCTTGATTGTGCCATTTAGGTCTAATTAATGGTGGAATCAAACATGTATGATTTGGATTATCTACATTATCTAGCTTTAGCATTTTAAGAAAATGATTTTCTGCGAACGATTTAAAAAATTCCTTGTCACCATCCAAAATATTGGTTTTTACAAGATCTTGAAATTTAATTCCCATTTTATTAGCAACAGTTTGGATACAACTAAAAAAATATTCAAGGCTTGTTCTTTGTTCTTTTTCTATGAAAAAATGTCTCGAGATTTCATCTAAATGAGGATATACTATAAATACATTCCTATCAGAATTAAATTTTGCTGTACAATCCTTTAGAAATTTTGAGATTGCCTCACGAGTACCTATCCAATCTCTATGAGAATGCTGTAAGACTGTTTTAGCTATATTCATAAAATTTGGATCAATTTCTATTGAAGTGGTTTCTTCTGCTGCATGAGCTGGTGAAAGCTTTAAAAGTAAAGCATTTCGTAATTTTTCAGTTGTTTCGCTGTCTGCATTATCAGGATTTGGTGTTATTGCAAGTAAATCTTCAATTAAATAAAGCCTGCTCAAGTCATCAATTTGAGCCAAACGTGACATCGCACTTGCAAATTTTTCCAAAGAAAGTTCTGATAATACTTTTATAGCAATGTCCTTGATAACATCTTCCCAGGCCTGTTCAACAGTCAAATCTCTTTGTAACTTTGGAACAATCCGTGGCTCCAGCCAATTCTTTAATACTTCTGATAATTCTACGGGTTTTTTACTTTTTTTTGACATACTTGAGGCAACGATCAGTAAGAGATCTTTATAAATTTGGTGTAAAAGATAACAATTTATATATAGATTAATAAAATATTAAATTTACAGGCAATTAATTATGTATGATTTATTTATATTATTTCGAAGTACAAACAAAACAAAAAAAAAAATTTAATGTTCCAACTCTCAATTTCCTAATTTGATTGGTCTTGATTATTTTTCCCAATCATATTAATATGTGATCATCATTTAGTTCCGACAAAGATACTCGAGCATGTAAACATTATATTTTTTTATAGTAGGGTTAAATGATTCAGTTAAGAGCTTGAGATTTAATGATAATTATATTGTTTATTTGGTAAAAAATATCATATTGCATTTATTTATTTTTGATCATAATATATAATATATGTATTAGTGTATATTAATATATTTGGCTGAATGATAAAATTTCAAATGAACGAATGATTGTTATTTTGATGGTTTGCATCATTTTATGTGAACTGTGTGGTATTTTACAAATATCATTAGAATGTTGTGAAAGTTTGTCAATCCCTTTCAGTCACACTAGAAGTTCAAAACAAAATATTTTGTCAAAAGTTTGGATAGATTATGGCACAGGACATGAAGTAAATTTTGCTGCGTGGTTGTAAGTAATAATAATAATATATACATTTATTTATATTTGTTTTATTATGATAATCTATATAATTTTAATTGGAATGAATTAGATGATTACGTTGCTATAGTTTTGAAAGTAATCGATTATCATCATCATTAAATTATTTCACATTTAAATAAAAAGGTATATATAAAAGTGATGAGAAATTTACGAGTTACATCTTGGCTTGAACAATCATGATCACGCGGTGTTTGAAGCTTGGGGCTTAGGTGATTATCATTTCCAACCTTTTACGTTTGATTCTGCTTAATGGATTGATATGAAGTTATTAAATTCTTTTGGGAAAGTGATTCTTTGTTTATATATATATATATATATATATATAAATATATAAATGTCCATTTATATTTATACATGTGTTTTTATATATGTATTTATAGGTCATAAATACATTAAACAAAAATCAATTCGTGACAAAGATTTTGTCGATGAATATTCAAAGGATTATATGTATTTATCCTGAATAAAATTCATTGATTTGGTAACTTTTTACAAGACCAAAATTGTATCGCTTAGATGTAATTCATCAATGTTGGGTGATATATCAGGTTATTGATTGAATATATTTTGATTAATAAATTAATTGTTTGTTTGTTTGTTTATTTGTTTGTTTGTTTGTTGTTTATTTAAGGGAAAATAAAGATGAGGGAAAAAATATTTATTTTATTAGCTTGTAATAATATCAACAATACAAGCACGTGATGGGAAAAGGAATGGTTAAAATGTACAAGGGCGAAGTTCTTGGAAAATTGTCAATGATGCAACATTTTATGTTTAGATCTCTGATACATTTTGAAGAAAGTGCTTCTTCACAAAATCATGAACATGAACATGAGCGTGTTCATGCTTTTGGTCAAGAATCCTGACTGGTGGGTATTATTACAATTCCTGTGTTTTTATATATGTATTTATAGGTCATAAATACATTAAACAAAAATCAATTCGTGACAAAGATTTTGTCGATGAATATTCAAAGGATTATATGTATTTATCCTGAATAAAATTCATTGATTTGGTAACTTTTTACAAGACCAAAATTGTATCGCTTAGATGTAATTCATCAATGTTGGGTGATATATCAGGTTATTGATTGAATATATTTTGATTAATAAATTAATTGTTTGTTTGTTTGTTTATTTGTTTGTTTGTTTGTTGTTTATTTAAGGGAAAATAAAGATGAGGGAAAAAATATTTATTTTATTAGCTTGTAATAATATCAACAATACAAGCACGTGATGGGAAAAGGAATGGTTAAAATGTACAAGGGCGAAGTTCTTGGAAAATTGTCAATGATGCAACATTTTATGTTTAGATCTCTGATACATTTTGAAGAAAGTGCTTCTTCACAAAATCATGAACATGAACATGAGCGTGTTCATGCTTTTGGTCAAGAATCCTGACTGGTGGGTATTATTACAATTCCTAGCACTATCGGAGCTAACCAAACGTATCTTAAAGAAACGATTATCTTTTGATTAGATGGTTATTGTCATTGATTGGGCTGTGTTAGATTATCTTTGACAACATTGTTTCTTCAATTGGCAGTATAATGTTATTCAAATTTCTTTACTATTAAGCTCCTTCAAATTTTAAACAACACGTATTTTACAGGGAACGATGATTATTACCAACGATTCGAGAAAGTAGAGATGAACAAAATGTTCGATTTATTTCTAGAACCCGAACATATCTTGTCATAACAATTCCCATGTTATAATCTTGCATCGTAAAAAATTGCGCGTAAAGAAAGGATCTTGTATGGTTGCTATAGGCTTATAATTGGCAAATTCAGTCGATGCACCAAAAGAACTAAACATGAACTTTCAATTCAGATGCATATCTTAGTAGACCATTATTATTATTATAGAAAAAATCTATTTTACATTGCGATTGCATAATGGTATTTGCATTATTATATTATAAATGATCCTTTGGTTTGAAAGTGAGAAGTTAAGAAAGTTTGGTGAGAATTTGAGAGTGATAATTCATTATATATAACGTAAAAGTGCAAAAAGATTTTCAAATGTAAACTGATGTAATAAATAGTTTTTATTTTTAATCAATTATTTATTTCTTTTATAAATTCTATTCATAAAAGAAATAAATACTTGATGTTTAACGGAATTATCATCAACTTTAGAAATTAAACTATTCAAGTACGCATAAGAATTATTTTCATAATCCTTATACACACTTTCTAAATCCAACTCATTGTAAATTCTTTTAATAACTTCCACGTTTTTGGGATCTTTCTTTCCATAATTTTCCTAGAAAAAAATAAAATATTATCATCATTATCATCATTATCAATCATCATCATCATCATCATCATTTCATTAATGTTTGATACATACATCCAAAAGTTTCCTTTGTTCGGGATTTGCTTTTGCTAATGCCTGATTAATAAGCCAAGAACATTTATTATCTTCGATATCTGTTCCAATTTTTCCAATGACTTTAGGATCACCAAAACAATCAAGATAATCATCCTAAATAATTATAAATATATAGTCTTTAGTAATGATGAATCAATAATATAAATAAATAAATAAATATATATATATATATTAAATCGAAAAAAATAATAAAGATGTTGGACCTGAATTTGAAAGTATTCTCCTAACGGTAATAAAACATCTTGAGCTTGTTGATAAGCCTTTTCATCTTTAATTCCAGTCTTTGATAATTTAGTGTAATGATTGTTATTATATATTTTTTATATATTTTAATAGAATGAAATTCCATAAATCCAACCAACCATTCTCATAGCCAAAGCGACCGGAAGATAAAATGAATAATATGCCGTCTTATGTAATACGATCAATTTATGCCTTTATTACAATTAATATATCAAAAAAAAATTTTCAAAATTATTAAATCATGCATGTATATATAATTTTGTATGATAGTAATAATTTATTTGTTACTTTTGAATTGAGAATTTACTCAAGTCTATATGGTCTTCAGGTGCGGTTGTTAAATCTAATAATTGGCCAAATTCTGTCTCGAGTGTTATCTATAGAGTGATTATAAAAAAAAAATTTCATTTTAGAAAGTCACGTGATCATTTCAAAGTCGAGCATACGATAATAACTCTATAATAGATATCATTATTAGCAAGGAATTTTAGAAACAAAAAAATTTACCTCATGAAATAGCTCTAGTAAATCGATATAATAAGGATCCTGACGAAAATATTTTTTCAAGAAAAAATAGATTCCAGCTTCCAAAAGAAAAGAATCATTAATTGCAATATTTCCAACCCCTTCCTGATAAATTAATTTGATTCAATTACCATCTACTTATTTATCCCCACCAAAAAAAAAAAAAAAAAAAAAAAAACTAAAAGAAAACAATTACCATTTTGTACCAACAAGGTTGGCCACGACGAGTAATAGATTGATCCATTATGTCATCGGCAACAAGAAAGAAAGCTTGAAGCTTTAAAGCAAATTATTTTTTGAACTTAACCATATCAAACCATTACAAGGTACTGTTCAGCCAGATAATCAAATAATCGCACATACCCATTCAACACACCAACCAAGAACTCTGGCCTTAAAAAGTTCTTGTTCTGTCACGTTATTATCTTTTAATAACTTAAATGTATCAACAACTGACAAGCCACGATTCAATTTTCCTATATATTAAAGTAACAATAATAAAAGGAATTGAAGAATCTTTGGGACATGTGGAATCTAGACATTAGACACTGATGATGCTTACCGCCAGGAACATTATGATTTAAGCACTATACAAATAATAAACAATAATCAATTATCATCATTTCTTAACACACTCTCAAACTAAACAAAAATAGGTAAAAAAACCAACGTCTTTAATCCATTGAATTGCGTTCTGGGGAAATTTCCTATCTTCTGCCTCTTTGACAAATTCTTTTAACAAAACAGGAAAAACTTTTTCAAATTCTTTTCTATCGTTTAATTTTTCTTCTGCAGTTGCCATTTTTTTTTAAAAATTAAAATTTTAAATAAATTAAATTAAATTAAAAAAACCCCCATAGTTTTTTTTTTTGATTTTCATATGATGATTATTGTGATTACGTTTTTTTTATGTTAACTGTTGTCAGAATGAGGGGACGTTATTACGTAATAGAAATTATAGAATTTAAAGTTTGTTGGAAAAGTAAGCCTCTCTAGGTTTTTGTCCAGTTTTTTCTAAATATGGATTTTGTCTTGTTACCAATTTTATTTAGATGTAATTAATGATAGACGTGTGTGTAGCTGTTGTAAAAATGATTGTTATATGACATCAAGTAATAGTTGTCATAACAGTCAATCGGAACACAACAATTCGTGTCTATTTATTTACTTAATGTTTAATTTATTTTAATATGAATGAATAATAGATAAGTAATAATAGTATATCCTTTACCGTATATACCATACAATAATGTTGGTAGATTATTAAAAAAAAATTAAAAAAAAAAATTAAAAAAATATTCAAAAAAAAATCAAAAATTAATCAAAATGCTCCTAAATCGTTAAAATTATTTTATGATAATATTATCATTGATAATAATAAATTATATATATAATTGATTTGATTAATCAATTTAACTTCAACTTTCTTCACAATATTACTTAAATATTATTTATTCCTTTATACATTAAAATTATTTCTCAGGAGTCTCAGGAGATTTCTTCTCTAAAGCTTTCTAATGATCAATAATAACACCAAAGATTATTCACTATTATTGTTATTTATCATTATTATATATATAATATTATCAATTATTATTATTTTTTACCTGTTGCTTTTGCCTCATGATTTCAGCGTCACTTTTTTTTTTTTATAAAAAATGATAAATATCAGTTAGTAATCTTGATATTAATGATATATATATATATATATATATAATAGAATATGAATATATTTTTTTGTATTGAAGAACCATGCATGGTAAAAAGCCTTTTTCAAATTTATTTCCAAATAACAAAAATGAAAAGAACGAACAACTCAACAATTTATAATTTTATATATATATATATATATATATACATACTTTTCAGCTCGTTTTTTAAACGACAGATCATCCTCTTTCTTTTTTGGCTGGTTTTTTTGTTGTTTTTTAATATTTTTTTCGCGAGCCTTATCTCTCTGATTTCCGCCTTTTTAAAAAAAAAAGTCACAAATTACATACATAAAACGACAATGAAAACTCTTGACCAAGAAATTGAGAAAGCAACGGAAAATAAGAAATTTAAGAGAAAGTAATACTTACGAGCCATTTGTACCAAAGAAATTTGATGTAGTGATGAGTATTTTTATTATTATAGTAGTGTGTATTTTTTTTATTATTATTGGCAAAGTAAATGATTGAAAATATTACAATTATGTCATATGGTGTCACTAACGCAAATAAATGTGCCACAGATGTATACAAAAATGGTAGTGCAAATCTTGTAACAAATAAAACCTAGAACTACTACCACACACCAATTATAGGTTTTTTGATTCCTCCCGATATTTGTTCCACATATTTTTGTGTATGTATAGTGTAACTCTTATATAGTAAGAGTTTTCCTTGCGTTTATTTGGAAGAACATAATAAACTTTTGACACCAACCAGTTTGCCAATTTTATCATATTTTACTGGAGTCAGCTTCGAGACATTTTTCAATAGCATATAAAAATCATATATACTAATAAGTCATAGACACCATCATCATTTGGCACCGGGGGTAATATATGTATGTATGTAAGTGTGTATGTGTGTGTGTGTGTGTGTGTATATGTTTTAAACTCTTGGTTTTTTTTCCTTTAAATATCAATCTTTAAATAGTAATCTAAAAAAAGAATATATATATATATATAGATTTCTTTTCATTTACAAATTTTGTTTTATTTGTATGTTTATCTTTGATTCAATAAATATAGGTTTTATTTTACGTCAATTTGTTTAACTTGCGTTCTATAGAATATAGTAAAAAAACGATAATAATAATAATACTTTCTAATAATAATAATAATAATACTAGATTAGAAAATTTACAAAAGAGATTAGATTTTATTACTTTTTTTGTGATTGTCATTTATTTATTAAATATTTATAAAATTACAGATTTTCTTTGGAAGAAACGAAGGAAAAACGAACGAACGATCGATCGATTGGGCAACGAATTGGGTAAACAAATAACATTTATGCATTCGAATTCGAATAAACAATCGAACAAACGAAATATGAAATTAAAAAATAGCAAAAAAGACGAAAGATGATAAGAAAATTCGAAAACAAACGTACACAAAAAACCAAAAAATGATATTAATATTAATATATTATACTGAAATTGGTTGATTTGAATTTTTTGAATGATTTTAATGAATTTCTGGTTAAAATTTTTGTGGAGTGTGTGGAGTGAGGAAATTGATTTTTTTT